ACACATACCTTGTTGTGTTTCAGGTCCTCGGGGTCCGCCAGGTTTGAAAGGCGAGAAAGGAAACAAACCAGTCCCAGCAGTTCCAGGTGAGGAAAAATACTGTTGATGGGGATTAGAACATCGATAAGATGATAATGATAGTAATGAGGAAGACGAATGACGAAATGTTAAAAATTAGTATACAACACATCGATATGTTCGTGATGGTGATTGTAATTGGAAAATATAATGCTGATTTCGAAATAATGGTGTTGATGATAATGATGACAATAACAATGATAAAAAATTACAATATATAATGATTTAAATATTGATGATAATGACAATGATTTTGAAGATTGTAAGTATGAAGATGGGATGGAGATGATGATGAATAATGTACAAGTATGGCATCATCTCTTGTGAACTAACTTATGTGAAAGCTCGTGTACATAAGATAGGAACTCAAAATGAAATAATAATTATATTCACCTTATAGGTGTACCAGGTATACCCGGATTAAACGGTGAACATGGATTGCCAGGAAGCAAGGGGGAAAAGGTAATCTATAATTTTTCCGATATACACGAAGGTGTGTAAAGTTCATACTATGATGTGAAAATCCTGCTGTTAAACATATATTAGTGTATTATTGTAGTTAATAGGGAGTTTTCGATGCACGACGTTAACCTTAACTTTAACGGATGACGTCATAATTTATTCATCTTGCGTTGCGAGTACGTTAATTTCAGGATTTTACGTGCTCGACGTACGTTAGTTACGGGTGCGCATGCGTATTTCGATTTGTTTACAAAAAGGGGCGGAGCTATCGCGCTGCATGTTGGGAACTACCGTTAAAATTAAGTTTAAGGTCGTTCGGTGGAAACTACACTAGGCCTATTAATATTTCTAATATACATTACTATTATTTCTATGTGACCGAAATTTTTAATACAGTATATTAAGCGCGCTGTTCATATACACAACCCTATGATGTTTATTCTCCTTACAGGTAGCCGGGGAATTATGGGATTGTCAGGTAACTACATTATCTGCGCTAATCTTTCAGATGTGCATTACTGTTTATAAATTATATTTTACTATGAAAAGAAAAAAATATATATCTCTCCTATGCCTCACCCCTTGAATATTGTTGCTGAGGTCCCGTAAAATGACAGCGTATCGTATGTAACAACTTGTGTTTGTGAAACAAGTGCGTTTACCGTGCTTTGTTCTGATTGGTCAGTTGTTTAATTTGATTAACACATTTTGACAACTGGTACTTATTGCAAAATTATAACGATTAAACAAAAGTTAATATAACTATGACGTCATTATCACTGAAAACGCAAGCAAACGTTCATTAATGACATTCAATTAACAAATCGTTTCAAGGTGAACTTGGTGAAAAGGGAGCACAAGGTTCTCCAGGTGTTCAAGAAATCAAGGGTGAGAGTCTAAATCCGGGAACTCAATGCGCCGTACGACGGTGGTACGACTGCTCAAATTTATTCGCGCGAATCGAAAGCGTCGGCTTATATTTATATCGGAGTTTTTGATAAGCGAAAAATTCGCACCCCATCAGATCTCAGGATGCGAACCGACGCTGTCCACTAGCGAATAAATTCGCCTAGTGGACAGGTTTTAGGACAGGATGGGCATAAAATTGGGTCAGAGGTAGCGATGGCCCCAGAAATTTGCCGACAAGGGGTCGACGTGTCCAACGGAGGGTCCGAACCAAGGCGACGACGAAGCCTTGGTCGACGGCTGGAATAAAAAAAAAAAAATACTGTTAGGGTTCATGGGGCAAGTTTCTATGGCTTAATTTGGTCCTAAAATGTGCTTTTAAACCACAATATTAGGGACTGGTAATCAAAATAGCGTTATTTGGATAGGCAAATTATTATTTATTTTAATTTATTTAATTGTTTTTTTGGTTTTTTTTGCAAAATCAATGACAACTTAGAAAGTACATGGACTATCAATAAATGCAATCTAGATATTAGAAGTAGAATTATATATACCGTACTCGCGCGAATAAGCGCCCCGTTTGAGTAAGCGCCCTTCCTAACGGGAAAATTCCCTTAAGCGCCCCTTCTAAGTTGAATAAGCGCCCCCACAATAATATCATAATATATTCTTTTTAGCAAGTCAATAACCCAATTAATCCTGGGACTGCTGTTGTTGGCATAATTGAGCTGCAGAGTGGAAACACATTCTTCTTAGGTCAATATCAAAATGAGGATATTTCTCTTGGACAGATGAGAGCTCCGATCTCTGGAAAGACAGTATATTTCCAACTTTACTCTTTTTACATAGGCCTATTTGTCTATGCCTAGTCCTACTCCTCTTTTTCTTTTCCGACAATTTGCACCTTTAGCACAATTATCTTTTCCACCTAACCACCATCCGTAATGTCCTTATATAATCTTTTTTCATTCAAAAAGTGCCTCTTGAATTTAATAATTTCCCATAAGAACCCTTCGATTTTCATCTATTTCCATAAGCGCCCCCTCAATTTCTACTCTGTTTTCATAAGCGCCCCGTTTGAATAAGCGCCCCTCAGAAAGTGTAAAAAATATTTTAAGCGCCCGGGCGCTTATTCGCGCGAGTACGGTACATAACATACCATTAATAATGAATGTAATAAAAATAATATCAATAAAAATCCTTGATATGAATCAAATTATTATATAATAAAATAATAATGATAATGATAATATAATAATAGTAATTATTTTCATAATTATAATGCATCATTGAAGCAACATTTAAAAACAATATTTTGGATTTAACACTGAGAGAGCTGCAACCAAATTCCGATGTTTCCAGCGTGCTTCCAATAACCTTCAATCACTGTCTTTATACCGCTTTATGTTGAGTTTTAATAGGCCTATTATTTTTTATACATGATCGCTGACGGACTGTAAAATCAAGATGTTTTCTAGCCGAAGATAGTTGGCGGACCGCTTACACCACAAAATAAAAAAAATCCCGAGGAGTCGCACTAATTTTGAGCTGGACAAGTATAAAGCCTATAATAGATATAATCATGTACTTACACAATTACTAACTATGCCAATTCTAAAATAAATATAAGTTGTTAAATACTTTAAATAAACACCTATAGGTACACGTGTTAAGTGAAACATATTATGTGTAGAATCTATTTCGATCGTCACTATAATCAGGGAACAATGATATGTTCCCTGCTATAAAGGAGAACACCTCCTTGATGATTTCAACAACAACCATACACACTTTAAGGCCTACATTTACTTTACACATTTATGTTTACCTTTGACAGGCGTTCAAGGCCCTCCAGGTAATAGAGGACTGAAAGGCGAAAAGGGTGAGTCGTATGTTAAGCCCAGACTGTCAAATTGTATTTTACAAAAAACATGTGGGATGCCTAAACATGGCTATGGTAGCATCACATCATGATCATATATGCACAATCTAGACTATATATGGGCACATCATGACTATATTTATATGCACATCATTACTATAAACTCAAAATCATGGTTAAGTGTCTAATACAGGCGCGTACATTAAGCGGGATATATCAAGATTGTTAGTTAAATATCATTCAATATCGTAATACAAATGAATAATTGCTATAAAATGTTTCTCCATGTTTGTCGATTTTTTGCAATTATTGTTTTGTTTATATAGGCCATCATTAATAAGACTCTACTCCTGCAGTTAATAGCATTCATATACTATCATTTTTATGTGCGCAAATTCAATTTGCAATATTATTATTAATAGCATTTTTGTTATTGTTTCTGTTATTATTGTAAATTTGGTTATTCTTGTTAATTTTATATTACTTATTATTATCACGTATTCGTTGTGTCATTAACGTCATAGTCGTAATCATCGTCATTGCCCATCGTCGCCGTCGTAGTTATTGTCATTTGTTTCACATTATTTAAATATACAAAAAGTTTCTATATGCTTTTCGAAAGTAAAATGAAACCATTGCAGTTAATAAGATGTACATCTTAAACTGAATTAAATTATCTATTTTTGCAGGTTACATTGGAAAACATGGACCGATGGGTCCAAAGGGGGATACTGGTGAGTTGTATCTAGAGTATATTGATAAGTAACCAGAAATGCTTTAAGAAGTCCTCTTCGAATTTATTTAAATCCCGTCCCAAATCATCTTGACATAAATGGTCACCTCATTATTGTTTTACAAGCTTCGAATGCTATTTGCTATTTCTGAGAATCACATTTAGCTTACATTACTGTATATTTTTGGTGCTTATCATTCATTTGACACTTTTTTTAATTATTAAAATGAGAATATTACTTCGGCAGGTAGCATTGGCGAAAAAGGACATCTTGGACCTCACGGTCCTGTCGGACAAAAGGGTGACATGGGGTCTCGAGGGAGTAAAGGAGATACTGGATCACCAGGTATCACTGGTGCTAAAGGAGCCAAGGGGTCCCAGGGAAGCCGGGGTGTCAATGGTGCCATTGGCGCTAAGGGAAACAAAGGGTCATCAGGATCTCCAGGTGCTACCGGAGCCACTGGTGTTAAGGGGGCTAAGGGTTCTCAAGGCATTCGGGGTACTTCTGGAACCAATGGTGCTAAAGGAGCCAAAGGGTCACAAGGAATTCGGGGTGCTGCAGGAGCCACTGGTGTCAAAGGAACCAAGGGTTCAGTTGGGGCTCGGGGTGCTACAGGCAC